GCCCACCTAGAGAACAAAGAGATACCATTCAAATTTCAAGTAATCAGAAACTCGCCGGAAAAACGAAGGGAAGAAGCAATTCAAGCTCAAGCAATCAGGCGTCCACCTAGAGAACAAGGAATGTCAATGGAAGATTCCGCAATCAGGCGTCCACCTGGAGAACAAGGGAATACGATTCAAGTTCAGCAATCAAGCGTCCACATGGAGAACGAAGGGAACAAGCAATTCAGGTTTGAGTAATCGGGAGCCCACCTGTAGAATAGAGGATATGCAACAATGGTAAAAGAAAGACGTTTAAAGATTCAACAATCAGGTACCCGCCTGAAGGAGAGGGAGAGCATCTCAAGAATACAATTCGAGTCAGCAGCGAAGGAACGACTGAGGGAAATGCAAATCAACAAGGCAACAACAGTCACAAGACCAAGTTTGAAAATAAATCTTTGTAAAGCATAGATTATAGCTTAGTCTAGCTTCTTCATTTTTGTCATGGTGTAATAAGGAGGTCAGTAAGCAGTATCAGCAGCAACGACAGTAACAGCGAAACCACAGCTCATGGTAGTCCTAGCTACCGAAACTTCCCGAACTATATTGACCTAATTCCTATATAGCCAAGGATATGTAGGAAACCTTTGAAGCAGAGGTTCGGTCAAATCTTTCAAAAATGTTTCCCACAGAGTATTCAAAACGGGCAAAAATCGCTCGTATCCACTCACTTTATCTTTGCACAAAAACTCTTTGTGTTTTCGGGCAAAGAGGGGAAGCTGTAAGCATGTGATTTTTGCCCTATGAGAATCACTCCCAAAAATTCAAAATAAATTAATTTTTTCCGTTGTTTGCACTTTTGTGAATTTTCGTGGTATTTTCTGTCATTACTTGCATGGGTTCGTGCATGTTTATATGTTTAAATAAATGAAAAAAATAGATTGCATTCGCATTTAGGATTTAAATTTTATAATTTTTGGTTTGCGTAGTAAATTAATTATTTTTACAAAAATGAAAAATTCACAAAAAATAACGTACTTTACATTTTTAAAGTGTTTAATGTCAAATTGGGTGATTGTTTTACTTTTAGTATTTAATTACTTGTGATAAATATTATTTGAAGTAGATTAGTATTTTAAGTCAATTTTGGTTTTATAATTTGAGTTAGGATTTTTTTTGGTTTTTAATTTTGAAGACAATTTAGGTAGAAAAAGAATTCATAAGAGAAAAGGAAATCAAATTGGGCCAAACTCAATTTACCCACCAAAGCCCAAATAAATTACACCCAAATCCGCCCTAAATCAGCCCAAAACCTGTCCCAACCAGTCCGGCCCTATACTGAACCAAATGACGTTGTTTGGACTCGCCTCAATCCGAGCCGTTAAAGAATTGTTCATCCAACGGTCTAGAACACACCCCATCGCCGGTATCCGACCCCGACCCGTTTTTCAGAGACCGATCCGGTCTCAAAGGAATCTAAAACGGTGTCATTCCATTTAGTCAGATGATCCAGGCCGTTGATCTCGTTTGATCGAACGGTCTGGATCCAATTCCACCCCTAGTATATATGTGACCAACCAAACCCGCTCCCTTCAGAACCCCTCAACCCTTTCGTCTCTAACCAAACCCTAGAGATGCCGCCACCGTACCCTCACCGCCTCAGGGTGGTGGCGCCGGCTTCGTTCACCCTCATCTTCACACCACGGATCCCCCTCAACCTCCCCATTCCAAATATCCAAACACCTCTCTTTGAATCATAGCCAAACGCCTCGAATCTTCAATTGAAGTTCGGTCAAAAACTCTAGCTTATCCAATCAACCCCAAAAACCATACCCGTGAACCACCAGGCTTCCCTCGTCCTAAATCCCATGATAGTTTTCCTCGAATCACCGTAGAGCCTTTCGAATTTCAGATCAAAAAGTTGAACCTTGAGTCCCCAAAAACACTGCTTATTAAAGATTTCAAGATTTTTAGGTTGAAATAGGCTGTAATCGTGCGTTTTCAATCGATAAAAAACATACGATTAGAGACCGTCTCAACCAAAAGAGTAGGAAGATCTTTGGAGCGGAATAAAGGGTTCGATTCTGGTAAGTGTTTCTTCGTTTTTCAATGTTTTTCCTCTATATATCTTCCTCCTCATCCCTTTCCCATAGGCTGAAATTCAAGGTATTATCATGTTCTTGTCCTTTTATTATATGAAGTTTCAGTCTGTTTGTGTCTTAATTTGCTGAGTACAACAAATATGAACATTGCATGTCAAGTTACTGCTTAGTTAAATGCGATGGTTTGTTTGCAATTTATGTTTGAATTTTGGTTTACATGATTCTATAAATATTTGTATGTTTGACTCAGGCTCAGTTCATTTTCAAAATCTCTACATCTCTTTTGGATTTATTTTGAAACCTTAACATGTAAATAGTCCTCATAAGGGTAATGTGGTTAGTTGGAGTTAATTAAGAAACAAAGGGATTGGTAATGGACATGACAGTTTGTCCACACCTTTAGAGGTTTAATTAAAAATTGAAAAGAAGGATCAGTAGTGGGAAGTAACAGCCCTTAAGTACCTTTAGAGGTGGGAATTCAGAGAAGAACAGAGGGTAGGTTAAAAAATTGAAGATGACAGTAAAGCTGACACCCTTTTAAAAACTTTTAAAGATGGGGGAAATCAGAGAGAACATGGGCTAATGATAAAAGTTTGAAGGGGTGCACATGGGAGGGAATACACAAGCTGGAAAGAGAAAAGATGTGAATAAAAGGGAGTTGGTCCTAGTCTTTAAAAAAACACACACGGGCATTGAGATACAGATAGACAGACCTAAGAGCTTAGGAGATTGAAAGGAGAACATTCTGAGAACTCTAAGGAGTAACACTGTTCCATTGAGTGATTGGTGATTTCTAAAGTTTCCTTAAGGCTGAAACAATTTCTGGTTAGCTGATAGTTGAAATAAGTTGAAGTCAAGTCAGGTTAAGGTCTTTTTGCTCATTTGTTTGGATTGAAACTGTTTTCCTGGGCTGGTATTTCACTTTTCTGGGTTGGAAACTGATTGAAAACTGTTGCTGACCACTATTCTTGTTACTGTTCTGCTGCTGTCTCCTCATCCTCTGTGTTGTTTTCGAATTCCAGGTACAAATTTTGAATCCTTCATGATCTAGATTTCAATTTGAGGATGGAATAAAGGCAATGCTGATCTTTCATGATGTTTATGTGTTTAGTCATCTATTCATAATGTCGTTTAGTTTGCCTCTGTTTGATTAGCCAAGTTTTCATGTTGTAATTAAATTTTGGACTGTTGGAATGTTGCATTAAGGGCTTCGAGTAGGTTAAAAGTGTAGTGAGGTTGTTTCATCCTTGGCTGAAAATGAGTAGTCGTTGTTTTGGGTGTTAATCTCATGTTTGAGTGGGGGTTAAAAATGCAAAGGATAATCAGGATATTGCTGATGTATTGTCAAATAGCATGCGAGGGATTTTAGTTTAGAAATGGTGTAGAAGTTTGAAATGTTTAATCAATTGGCTTGAATGTGAAAATTCAGAAATGAGCATGTTTACTTTAGTATTACAAGTTTCAGTAATAGCTAATTCATAGTATTTCATGGATTAGCACATGAATGTGTTGGAACTAAAAAGTGGCTTGGAACAATTGTCTGTTTTAATTATCATCAATGTTTCGATGTCTAGTAATTGTTAGTTCGGATTTTGGTGTTGTTCAATATCGAATTCTTGGATATGTGATGTTTGGACTTTCTTGTCACTCTATATTTCAAATCTAAATTGCCTACTGCTAGTACCTGGGCTCGAAATGAGACCATTCGAGCTTCGACTTGAGCATGCCTCATGAGACGGGGGTCTCCGCTTGGTCTCAAACAAAATTTATTGCAGGGCCCAGCACTTTGTGCCATGGTGATTCCACTACGTCATTGGACCTCACTTAGTCATAACTTTAAAACTCCCGATTAATTTCAATTTTGGTTTCATTGGTTTTTTTTAAGCAAAATCTTTGTAGTTATTAGGGTTGTGCCGTGTTAATTAGTAAAATCAATCGTGGCCCTCCCGAGCTTAATTAGATTTTAAATAAATTGAGGTGAGCCATTTAAATTAACATAAATAGTCGTGGCCCTCCAAAGGTAATTTGAATTCTTTCTTTTGTCTAAAAATTAGAATCGGGGTGCACCATGCCAAACAATTTGACAATTGCATGGTCCTCACTTAATTAATTTTGTTCTAATCCTTAGAATGCGAGGCGTGCCAGCTAATTGAATTTCCATGACCCTCGCGAAGTTGCAAATGCATAGTTGCTTTATGCGCGTCATTTTAATAACTTACCTTCCTAAACTTGGGTGCACATTTACGTGACCCAAATCCAAATCAACAATGTTATATAAAATGTGTTGCGGATTGCGGGTGCATTTATGTGATGTGGTTCAAGTCATATTTTAATGACGTTGCAATCTTCCTAAAAAATGAATAAAAGCGGCTATAAAGTAAAAATCGAACCATAGGCTAAAACATGTAAAAATCAGATAATAGGCCAATTGTAACAGTTGAGCGGCCGTACTAGAACCACAGAACTCTGGAATGCCTAACACCTTCTCCCGGGTTAACCGAATTCCTTACCCGAATTTCTGTGTTCGCAGACTGTAATACAGAGTCAATCTTTTCTTCGATTCGGGATTTTGAACCGGTGACTTGGGACACCATAAATTATCCCAAGTGGCGACTCTAAAGCTTTTAATATAAATCCTGTTTCGATTGTCCTTTAATTGGAAAAACTCCCTTGTTTATACATCCTTCCGGGGTGCAGGAAAAAGGAGGTGTGACAATGATTAATTTTTTTCATGTAGTTAATATTTAATGATTATTTATATTTACTAAGAAAGTATAAATTTTAAGATTATTTTTACATACAATCCAAATAACTTAAATATTTGACATGATACTAATGCTAGTTTGGAAAAAAGAGAGAATAAAGTTGTCCGCAGCCAGACATTAGCATTTGTTTTACTAAATTACTTTAAAAATCATAAACATTAGTCAACACGCGATTGGCTCAAGAGGTGTCATCAGATAGGTTATATGAGAATGGCCCTTTCTGGCCTCACTTTGTCCAAAACGACACCTTTAACAACCAATCTTCGCCATCGGCCACCTGAAAATGTCCACCGCGCCTCTGCGTTTCTCATGCCTATAACAGATCTGACTTTTGGAAGAATCTCAACTATCAATCTGATCCGATTCAGTCATCCTAGATATCTATCGGGCCGTAATATCGCTGCACTCAAAAGTCCGATGGCCGAGGAAGCGAATAAAAAGAACTCCATAGAGTCAACAGTGAATAATAAGTGCACCATAGAGTCAACGATGAATAATAAAACGGAGTCGGAGAAGAATCAGGAGAAATCAAAGGTTACCATTCCGCCGCCGCCGGAGAAGCCGTTGCCGGGCGATTGTTGCGGCAATGGATGTGTTCCATGCGTGTGGGACACGTATTACGAAGAACTGGAGGAATACAATAAGCTTTACAAGAGCAATCCTGATGTTAAGCCTTGATAGATTTGTTTGGAAACTAGAATTCATATAATTGTTTAACTTTATATAAATTGTTGTTTGCTATCTTCATTATATAATTGATAACAGATTTACGAGCAAGCAGATACAGTAAACAAGGTGAAATCTTTGTAAACTTCACCTTTGTGCTCTTGAGAATAGAAACTCTTTTCCCTTTATTGATCAACAAGTTGTTAGCTACTCTAATTTTCCTTATTTTTATCCCTTGGCTTGGAAACTAGTTTTGGCAAATACTGACAGCAAGTTATGAATATACATTGATATTAGGATTAAGACTAGAAATAATCCTGATACAAGATTAAAATTTCATGTAGTATATTTCAAGAATGATCCGAATATATTGCTTTATAGGGTTGGAACTTATTCGCACTTAATGTTTATACTCAAAAAATTCAGTTTCGAAAATTTCACATTTTAGTTAAAGATATCTATTAGTCACATTTTTGGGGGGATTCATTGGAAATATTTTAAAAATAATACTACTGATTACTTTTTGTTTATTCCAAAAATGGTTCTTTCAAAAAATATTAAAAACTCAAAACCCGTACGAATACTACTTGCATTTGCTTACTTTTTCCCCCATGGGTTTCACGTGTGTTTTTGTTATCATATTTGTAAAGTTTGGTTATGAAGTATACATAATGTGGTGTGTCTAAATTATCACGTTTTTTGTAGCACAATTGATAGTAATAATTTACTACTTCCCAGAAAGAGTGATACCAGATAACAGTACCAAAACCTGTATAATATAAGTAATAAATGGGCTCATTCACTCAAATGAAAATTCAGTAAATTGTAAAAAGCATTTTGTAGGTCCCAAAAGTTAATCTTTCGTTGTCGGGTTTCCGGTCTTTACAGTAAAAATGGCAGTCAACTCCTCCGTCATGATTCACATCAACCCGGCGGCTCGTTTAACCAAAATAGAAAACCGGTGCTTCAGACAATGTCACAAACTTCCTACTAAACCCGGTTTCCAGTTTCTCATTCCCAAAGCACGTGACCTCTCCAAAATCTCCGTCGTGGAACAGTTCCGTAACCGCGTGGAGAAAACCGCCGACGAGATCCGCCGTCTTCGGGTTTCTGCTGAGGCTACAAAACCCCTCTTCCTCACTTTTTTCTCTAAAACTCAACAGTTTATCGAACGCTTTATTGTTCGTGAAGTAGAAAACGAGAAAATGATGGTCAAGCGTAATTTGCTTATGATGATTGCTGTGTTTGGAGTAATGGCGATGGTGAAAGGTCCAGAAGAAGCCCTAGCTTCTAGTTCTCCTTCTGCTTTTGTTCAAAATATCATATATTCTAACAAGATCGCCATCTTCTCCAAATCCTATTGCCCGTAAGGATCAGTGTATCACTGTATGATCAAAACTAAGAATTGATTAGAACTTTTTAACTTTCGTAGCATAATGTAAAGCCTGCAGATGAAAGAGATCATCTTTTATTTTCCTTTTAGGGTTTTTATTCTGCTTTGCTAGTTAATTGAGAACTAATTCTCAGATTTCTGTATCAGGCAATTTTTTAAAAAATATCAGTCCTGTCCAGGCTAGCTTGGGCGCACATGGACTAATCACTAGATTCTCTGTCTAATAAGACATGTTGCCAAGATAATCCTAGTCACCAATGTCAGAGCTGATGATTCACATGTTTGTTGGACAAATTTTCTAGACATCCACTGCCTTCTATTTCTCTTCAATATTGAAACCTGAAAATAATAATCATACCTTTCATTTTGGCAAAGAAGGAACGTAGTGAGTAACCAATCGATTTTAATAGCTGAGCATGTGATTTGCGATGTTCTATGTGCTGCTTGGAACAAACATTATGCTTAGACAGGATATGTATACATGAATAAGATTAAAGATAACAATGGATTTGAGGCATCATAGGCTGTAGTGGTGCTCTGTATGCTGCCACATCTTTATGCTATGCCTTGTTTTATTTATCTTGACCATAAAAAGAAAAAAGAATTATAAAATACCTTGTGTCTGAGACTTTGAGTTAGCTTTTTAAGTGCATGTTGATGTTTGTAGTTTATGTCCTTTTCCTGCTAATTTGTATTGTCTTTTGACAATAGGTACTGCAAGCGTGCCAAACGCATCTTCAATGAACTTCAAGAACAACCATTTGTGGTGGAGCTTGATCTTCGAGGTAATTTGTTGTCAATACCCCTCCCTTGGAACCTGTAGAAAGAAATGAAACTAAAGTAGAACACTTGAAAACAATTCATGGCAAAAAACACAGAGTTTTCGTTGACTATTTGATTGTCTATCCGTGTTAGTCTACATTGGTTGTCACATCTAGCGATGGAATTAATATATTTGCTTCAAACTTACAAAATATCTGCTCAGACGATGGCGGTCGTATTCAAGATGTCCTTTTGGATCTGGTGGGCCGCAGCACAGTTCCGCAAGTGTTTGTGAATGGGAAGCATATTGGTGGTTCAGAGGGTAGGCCTTGTGATTTCAGTTGTCTGATTCCTGTTCTCCTGACCTGATATTATCAGCTTGTAACACTTGATTCTTTTTGTTTTTGTGATTTTCATTTTTTTGGCTTTTTATTAGATCTTCAAATTGCTGTCAAGAACGGTCAGTTGCAAAGTCTACTTAAGAAAGAGTAAAGTACTGCAAGTCGAGAGATTCAAGCATCTTATCTGAATTCCTGAAGCTACAATGCATTCATGGAGAGCTTAGTTTAGTTTGGTAGGTCCAGCTCTAAACTAAAAATTTGTATGCTTACTATGCTGTTCGTTTCGTTTCTCATGCTGAAAAATGGGTATCTGGACAAACAACTAGGGATTTGAACTTAATTCAAATGCATATGTCCTTCACTAGCTATAACTTCAGTGTACACTGTGCAGAGACAGCAGGTTGTTTACAAATGAACAAAAGTAAAATGGAATAGGATAACAAGAGGCGTGGAATTAGAGAAATCCTCTAGTACAGACTATGCTCCAATTCCAGTTATGTTGTTCAAATTTCAAACTTTAGAATCTAATTTATGTGGATCTAGATTCTAGAACCCGTGGATACAAATGTTCCCAGAAGATTAATATCTGAGCGAATGGCAGTATGAAAAAGCTTGTGTAGATCCAAATTGTAACAAATATAGAGACATAAGAGTGAAGAAATGCCATGCTTGGCACATAAGGAAAGCTGTTAACTCAGATCCTTTGTATTCATTTAGAGAAATATCCGTCTGCCTAATCTGTTGCATTTATAATTACTGCTAAATGCCATTATTCATGAGCTCTGCAGACCCATTCGCATTTCAACAGAGTCTATCTTTGTCAAAGCAGCTCATAATTTTTTTTAAATCAATCTTAAAGCTGACCCAACCAAATTGGTTGAGGAAACCTGTCTGCTACTAGAAAGACAACCTTTTGTCCAATTTTCATGCGTTAAGCATGCCGTTAGCATTTATCTTAAGCCAAGATCAAACTTACTGTGAGATTCATAGTTGCGTTACTTATAATGTCTTTATCCATAGACAAAGTGGAATCTGTGTAGCCTTTTGTTTAAAAAGGTATAACTTGTATCAATGTGCTTCAAAGTAGCCCTGAGTTCGCTCCAAAAAAAGATATAGCCATCAAAACTCAGTGATCAAGCACTCACTCCTCCAAGAGCTGTTTGTCCTTTTTGTTGACCTTCTTAATGCTAGATGTCTTGGACAAAACTGAAGTTGGCGAGTCTCGAAAAAATACAAACAACCCGCGGAGAAAAAAATAAAAGCGACTAAGAAGGGAAAAAGAAAAATGATAAGATGACTACGAGACATGCTTGAAGAAGAGATTAATAAATGGGGAACTTCAGTTGTTACCTTTTTCAAAAAAAATAAATGGGGAACTTCAGTTCTCGGTCGTTGTAATTATGCATCTGTATGCTAAATGTTTCATTAGCCTTGCAATTAATCAATAACAAGAGCTGCGGCATTTGCCGGCAGCACTTTGCCTTCTTTATCTATCAAAGAATAAATAAATAACTATAAAAAATAAATAACAAAAGCTACGGTAGCAGCTTCTTGCCTGCTCGCAGCATTACATGAAGAACTTTAGGCTACAAAATAGAATTGCTTGTTGTGCTTGCTATAGAGTAAAAACTACAGATTTAGACAATTTGAGATTCTCCTGACTTTGTAGTCAGGTTGGTGCAGCAGAAGCGCTTGGCCGCCACAAAGTCTTCTGTGCACTTAGTATTCCAACTTGGTTATGGGAGATGGTTTTCCGAATTTCCCAATGCAGAGACTTGAGTAAGTTCTCTACTTCCTTAGTTGTGGCGGAATCATCACGGACAATCAAGTAACCTCCAGGTCTAACTATTCTGTCAATCTCTGCTAACACAGCAACAATTTTACACCTACAAATGCCCCATGAAAGTCTAGGTCATGGTACATGAACCATTTTAAAACAGGACAAGGTTCTACTCCATAAACTACTATTACCTCTTCTTTAACTGGGAGAAAAGATGATCAGCATGTAGTAGATCGTATGTCCTTGGGTATGTACTGAAGGATTCACACCAATCATGATAAATCCCAAAAAGACCACGTTCGTATATTATAGGAAGTGTATCCGGAGAGTTGACATTCACCACATTCAACACCCACAGTTTGAGATCTCTAAGAGCTGCAGCAAACCTGTTAATAGGAGCCTTTTATCAGTACTCTTTTTGGTGCATAACCAGAGGTAAGAAGAGAGAAGTTAGTTACCCTCCATATACTGCTCTCATGTCCATGGCGTTTCTCACATTTGACCAGCTAATTCCCAGTCCGTTCATATACACCTTGCTTACCAAACGTTTCCAATGTTCCAAATCTGCTGCAAAGTCATCTGGAGCTGGTTTTCCATAAATTCCAACTTGTGATTGGTTTAGCCAGTATGGAGGGGTCTGTAGTCGCTCAGGCCACTCTACAGGCCACCGATATCCTCTTTCCTTTTCTTCAGTCGGCACCCTATGTATACATGAATGGAAGGCAACATACCTGAAATGTGTATTGTAATCCAATCTCATTAAAACTTGGTAAGCAGTTCTCAAGAATATGTGGAAATTATATTCTTTGTAGATATTCCAAATGGTATTGGCAGGCAGATTTCACTGAGTAAACAAAATCTTGTTGGACGACAAATTCTTAGTCTGTTCTTACAGTGAGCTTACCAGGCAGCATTAGGATCATCATCTGGTTTACACATTGGGGGTTTGTTTTGTTTTCTTTGATCGTAGCAGTCATTTGTGTCTGGTTTGTGGTAGATAGCAACACCAACGGAGTTTAGTTTGTCCTTCTTTATGGTTATAAGCTCCCAGCACATGGACACCGTCAGATTAGACATTGCTGTTAAGAGAACCGAAAAACAGCAAAGGTGTTAATTTTACATTAAACGATCGACATTAAGCGAAAGGAATGAGTAGGATCTTACCCTTCCATATCTCAACATCTTCTTCAAGAGTTTGGTACACAGGAGTTGCAGACCAGGCAAAGTAACCTCCGGGGCGAAGTACACGATTCAGTTCCAGGAGAAGAGCACCACCTTCATCGCATATTTAAACTTTATTAACGAATCTATATGATAACTCAAAGGCAGAGTCTTAATGAGGACTTGAATGTTGAAATAACCCTATATATATATATATATATTGTCTAGGAAAAACCTTCTTCATGCCAAGGGACTCTGCAACGTGCACAATGCACAAGGTCAAAAACTCCACTTGGAAATGGCAACCTCTGAGTACCCATCACTGCAGATATTGCAGGTATTCCCCTTTCTAGTGCAAATTGAACTTGTGCCTCATGTTCATCTTTAGGTGCGAAAGACATTGCAAGAACATCTCTCTCGAAAAGATAACCACCAAAACTAGCGACTCCACAGCCAACATCTAATACTACTCGAGTGTGCTTTCCCCATGCTATATCCGGAACTGCCTACAACCAGTTGATTGAAATAAATCTTCAGCATCATTGAATTGTCAAAAGTGGTACATATCTTCTTCTAGTAATTAGTTTTAAGATGTCCTTTTTATTTTTGGGTTGATCATCCTATGATATTATTGAGTAGAGGCCATGAGGAAAGGTTTAGTCATTATCTTGATATAAAGTTAATGTTTAAAAGATAAATGTATTGTTGTTATTATAGTTTTTGGTGATGGATGACATACCTCTTGTACAAAATCAATGTAATGCAATGCTCCATGGATAAACTGGGTACCTCCACCTGGGAAAGTTAGGAATTCACCAGAAACCTTCACCCAGTTTTGGTGCCCCTTCACCTCTGCTAACAATGTATGAGGCACATTATGGTACCATATCTGGATAAAAACAGAAAATTCTCAAAAGATTAACATTTTTGGGATACATATTAAGTAACAAAGTACTTCTGAACAGACAACTACCTTATCTCTGCTTTTAGGCCACTCAATTGGTGTCTTGTATCCCTGAGGCAAGGGGACAAGGCAGGTAGGAGGTTCCTGAGGACAGTGTCTTTCGCGATGTTCATAATGCTTTGTGGTTTTTAGTTTTTGTATTGCTTCCTCGTTGTCTAAACATGGTATGTAGTCTGCACCAGCTGCCACCTCGCACAGCTGCCAATTCTGTTCTGGGACACTGCTGTCTTTGTTATTTGATCCGACTGTTCGTCTTTCTTTCTGGTTAACTGAATGATCAGCTTGTGTCGACCAGGACTTCTTTGATTCTTTAGACTCTTTTGGTACAATGGTTTCAGTCTTGTGATTTTCAGTCTTCAGAACAGGTAGGTTATTAGTTAAGTTTACGGGAGCCTTATGGTCATGTTGAATTTTAACATCTTTTAATATAGGTGCCTCGTCATGTTTGATTTGATCTTTACTCATTACTCCTTGAGTTTGTTCTTCTGATTGTTTCTGTTGCTGTTGCATTTGGTCATCTTCCTGTTGTTGATGCTGCTCTAGTCGTTTTTGTTGCTCTTGATCTGTCAATATGTTCTTGGTGTTATCTGTTGAAACTCCATGGGCATCATTTCCTGAATCCAACGACACGTCCTCTTCAGCCTTATCTTTTCCTAGGCTTCCCTTATCTTTAGATTCTTTTCCAGTTATTGTCTTTCCGATTCCTGCAGTTATTTGCTCAGCTTCTTGCCTGTGAGTGATGGAACTTTCCTCAGATGTTTGTGTCTCCAATAGTTTCTGCTTCTCTTGCTCTTCAACAGATTCGATTCCATGCAATCCGTGAGAGTGCTCTGCAGCAGCTAGATTTCCATTTTTCTTGTCATCTTCTAGTTTTCCATTTTCACTACCTTGCAACGATTCACCATTCCCGTTTAAACTATCTCTACCACCAGAATACTTTGTAATATCTGATGAGACATCTGTCTGGGGCTTGTCATTTTCCCTAGTATCCTGAGGCCGGTTAGCGTCATCAGGTTTTATGGCATCATCAGGAAGGTCTCCTTGTGTGTCCTTAAAAACAGGTGTTCTTCCATTGTTAGAAATGGTCTTGTGGGCATCCATAATGGTGGAGGCAAGAGAAGAAGAAGTGGAGGTGGTAGATTCGGTGGATGTTCGAGTGGTGGATTTGGGAGGAATAACAGAGGTGGAGGTGAGAAGCCATACGCCTAAAACACATAATGATACAAAGATGATAGTAGTAATAGTTGATGAGTAGGAAGAACTGGATGGTCTTCTGCCCAAACGAGCTCTTGCTGTTGGCATGTTTGGTTGTGATTTGGATTACATCCAATTTGCTACTTCTTTTTTTAGTTTTTGCAATAGCCTTTATGTTGAAGTTAGTAATAGAAATGAAAGCAAGAAGTGAGAAGTGAGATGATGAGAGGATTCGGTTTGTTTTGTGGAGGGAGATGAAAGACAAAGAAAACGAGAAATAGTCCAAGTTGGATTATTAAAGATCCAACAGAGTAGGGAAAGGAAACAACTTACATTCATTTAACTCCTTGAATTGAGGAGGGGGAACTTTTATTATTTGAACAAATCTATATTATTATAAAAGTGGCGAGACCTCGAATTACCGAAATATCCTTTTAAATACTTTAAATAGCTTAAGTATAGTTAATAATAAATATTTATTAAGAAAAAAAATTAATAATTTAAAGTGTCCTTTCAGAAAAGTTGTCCCCTCTTAGTAAGTAGTAACTAAATATCTCCGTTGATTTTTGTGAAATAATCATATCTATTTTAATGTCAATAATGCATAAAGCCTTTAACCGTATTTTAAATGCCAATAG